TCGGGGCTATGAAAGCGTTCCCTGCCCACTCTGTCGGCAAGATCACACGATCCAGTCCACCAATCCGGAGATCATCGGCGGAGTGAGTTTCATGGACCTCTAGGACGTGACCGGAGAGGTCACAGCCGAGGCGGTCGGAGCAGCGCTCGGACCTTGAGAGGCTAGGCCCGAGGCTCGCGAGCGATCGGCCGAGAGGGAGGAATCAGAGCTACCCGAGGAGCGAGGATGGAGTTGTTGAATTGGTAAAACAAGCGTTAAGTCTTATAAAGCTAGTAGTAGTAGCGTCCGATCGTTCCTAGCAGTACACCCAAAAGCCCTATAGTAGCTTCTTGTTACTAGTAGCGATGCCAGGAGCCCCTAGTAGCGTCCTTGGCAGCGAGGATGCAGTATAGTTCAGTCCGCAACAAGACACCACCTTCGCAGTCAGAGATTCTTGCAGTCCACAACTGCTGGCGTCTTTATTCGTGCCAAGTTTGTAAGAAGTGCAGGACTCTTTTTCCAAAAGACCAGCTTCACCCTCCAAGCAAGCGTTTACAAGAAAGAACAATGCCCGCTAATTGCAACAGATCTTCAAGGTCACCAGAGTTCTTTGAGTCTCACTTCTTGCGCGTTAGACTTCGCAGATGTTCCCAGGTTTCGGCCCAAGGCCAGACTTTCCTTTCACGAGCAGTAGATCGGAGAGGGGCGGCGCCGCCTCTTGCTCGTCGTTTTGGCGCATTTTGGAGAGACACCGGGAATGACCACCGAATCAACTGACGGGATACAACCGACTGGATGTCAAAAAAGGTAAGTCTAAATGGTCTAGAATTGTCTTGTCGAACAACTGCTGTTCCTTCTTTCTTCTTTCTGACTTGCCAAGTGTCATTCTGGTGCATCTCAATCGGTGAACCAAGACGGAGCAGCCGAGCAATCGGTGAACCGTCTTCGTGAGCACTAAGTTGCCACATCTCTCGCTTTCGTCGGTGCTCTCAAGGTTCCAACTCAGAGGTCCAATGCTTTCCCGGCCCAGCCGGGTGAAACAGAGGTCACACCGGTGTTCTTGCGCGAGAGACTGCCGGCCAGACGATGCCAGACGTGAACTCATGGGCAGCATGTGCGATGGCTGCTTAGACTCAAGAAAGCCGAACAAAACAAGTTGGGAGTTGTGTGGCATGCCTGCTCTTGACATGCCTCACATGCATGTCTCATGCCAGAGTTCTGCGCCGCAAGCACCAACGATGTTATGAAACACGGAGTGGAGGCCATCGCTAGTAGGTTGGAGGCCATCGGTAATTGAGCTATAAGTAATTGAGCTATATATATATATATAGGTAAGCTAGCAAGCTAGGATTTGCTACGTGGCTAGGATTTGCGAACGGTGAGTTGCACACCGTTCCCTTCCGATTCTCCCGCCTACCTCGGCTTCGAGGTGATTTGGCGCGAAGGCCGCCTGAAGAACGGCTTCGAGCGCCCGGCGGGACGCCCGAGGAACGCACCGAGAACGAAGCGGTGTTCGGCTCACAGCAACGTGCATGCGCACCCTGGAAGTGAATGCGCATGGTGAAAAACAGGTGAAAAACAGGTTCTTCCAGCCTAAAACGGGGTGCCCTAGAAGTCAGACTATATTTTGACCGGCTGGAGTAAAGGAAGTTCCCTTTTAGGTCCCCTAGTCAGACCATTCATTTTATAGTCTTTGACTCCCAGGGGGTGGCTTTCTTTTTTCACGATGTGTGTGTGTGTGTGTGTTTGACGCTTTCCGACGAAGCAGGTGATGTTGGTAGCGAGAAATCAAAGACACAGGGGCCAGTTTTCAATCTTCTTCGCCACTTCAAGGCTTCACGAACAGTGGATGGCCTGCAACGTAAGTAAGTGCCAAGTGGCAGTTGAAAGGAGACTAGTTGAATTCGACTGGTTCATGAAGCTACCGCTCGTATTATCACCCCCTCATCCAAATCACATTTAAGTGTTGGTCCCTCAAAGAAGCAACTGCTTTTTTCCAGCACCTAAGGAGCCTTCCTCATGGCAAAGCCTCTTTCCTTCGGAAGTGCATCGGTAAAGAACGATCAAACACCACGACCTCAACCGCGAAGCCGAGAGGAACTTCACCGAGACGGCGACATCGCGCGACGGCGGTCGGGTCGCACCGAGGTGGTGATCCACCGTGCCATCTTGGGTTCCATCGAGCGGATGTCGGGGGGCTAAGAGGCGAAACCAAAGGGGGTCGGCTGCGAAACGTGTTGGTTTTCAGTATGTTTGGGAATAGACGATATGAATTGTTCTCTTAAGCAGCGACTGAAGATGAACGAACCGTTCTTGTTTCGACGTTCGCGGTGAAGTCCACCAGGTCAGCCATCCTCATGGAGCACTACGCAGCTTGGAACAGACCGACCATGGACTTGGCACAATGGACATGGAGCAAGAAATGTAACAAATCGGGTATATATAGATTTGATTGCTTAGAGTGTATGATTCTACTGAGTCAGTCTTTACTCCTTGCTCAATATATGGAACACATGTCCACACCTAAAGAACTTTACCCAAAGTTGGTTCTTTAGTGAATCTGGGTTCTTTGGGTTGTTTGCTTCTTGAATTGATTTGTGGTAGCACCACCAAGTGAGCAAAACAATCTCGCGCTGTGTTTCTCCTTCTCTTGCGCTGTCTCCAGTGCGCGTGATCCTCACTGCACAAACTGATGTTTAAAATAAACATGTTATGGCTCAGAGCGCTTGAAACCTGCGGCTTCAGCCGCTGAGAGAGTCCAAAACGTATCATTGGTCGGTGAGACAAACTTCCAAAAAGGAGTTCCACTGGTATTCCTTTTGAATTTCAAAGCCTTCCATCCATTCTTGGTAGTCTCCTCACTCACTAGCTCAGCTTTTTGCCTTTTTCTTGGCTCCGCTTTTGCAGAAGGCCTTTTCATTTTTGCTGGACTCTTGGCACAAGGAAGTGATGGTTCTTTTTTCTTTTCATCCGCACGAAGTGAAGGATCAACACACTGATCTTCATCCGTTTTCTCCTCCTCCTCCCCCTCCGCCATCGCATCCCTTGTTTTTTCTACTTTGGCTGGGCTCTCTTCATTCTTTGGAGCGGTCTCACGAGAGGTGGCTGGTTTCTTTGGCACAATAGCCCTGCTCACTGGTTTTCTCATAGGTGCTGCAGTTCTGGCCGTCTTGGACGGGATGGAGCCTCACAAACATATCTCTCACTGACCAATGCTTCTGAATAATGATTTACATATATTTACATCTTAAATTGGGACCACTTCCCGTCTCATCATTCCCAATTTCATCAATATTAAATTTAAATGCTACAGCTTGAAAAGAAAAAATTATAATGCTAAACGGAACTAGTGAACTTTGGTTGCCATCTGCAGCATGTTCACCACTGCCGCGCGCGCGTCCACGACTTTGTCCCCGTCCGCGCGATCGTCCACGTCCGCGTCCCCGTCCAGGTGTTTCTTCAATGTTCTTCTTGTTGGTTTCTGGAGTAACAGGGAACAATTCTCTGGAACCAGTAGCGCAAAAGGATGGTGAAGCCCTGGGTGCCCTCGGTGGTGGGGTGGTCAAAGGAGCCGATCCACCTGCTGCTTGGTCAAGGCGTGCGAACACCAAGGCTTGGACATCAATCTGTGCCTTCATCAATTGCAAACTACGGTTAGATGAACCACCTCCAAAGCCAAAAGTTTGCTACAGAATGAAACTCATGACAATGAAGAAAACAAAGAACCTGTCCTTGACCTGAGTGTTGACTTGCAAATAGCAGAATGTCGAGGGTTGGCAAATGTCTGGCGCAATGCCCAATGAAAAGGGAAAGGAATAAAATATTTGGCCAAATTCAGAGGAATGGTTTGAGGCGGACAAGCTACATTTCTTCGCGTTTCATGACTACATTCAATTTAAATGAATTGGCAACTATACAGCTGTGCTTTTCACCGCCAGGTCGATGGCATGTAAGCACAGTCTTTGCAAGGATGAAAAGTTCTAGTGGTAGACTTCTTCAAGTTCTTCACATGGCGGCACTGGTCATTGCTGTGCCAGCACTTGCCAGTACTAGTGGTAATGACAACATCAGCAAAGCATCGCCTACCTGGCTGATCACTTGGCTCTTCCCGAATGGTTGGTCCTATTGGCTGCAGCAAAGTTTGTGGTGTGCCACAATCCTCCGTGCTAACTGCAGCATCCTTCATCGCCGGCTTTCGTGTAGGCCAAAATGTCCAGGCGCCGGCAAATATGATCAGGGCCAAGGGTAGAAGAGAAAGGTTGAAGTAGACGAACGCTGCATTCCAAATCTCCAATGCCGCTACCACACTCATATTTGCAAGCACAAAATATGGCACAACAACGTGCTTGAGCTTTCAGGCTTCAACAAACTACTCTGTAAAGCTCATTGAAATCCGGCATGCTTCTTGAACTTGAATCAACTTGCTAGTGACAACAAATTGTTGTTTTCTCATGTGAGATTTTATGAGGCAATTGCCCCAAGAAGAAAAACAAACGCCTGTGAAGGAGACTGCAGGTTTACGGGACAGGGACGCTTTATTTTTTTTGCATCGCAATGACAGAGGGTGAGGTTTCTAAGTTTAAACTGAGTCCAATTGCAGCCATTGCTTGGACTTATCCCTTCACTGATGCCGCTATAGCTAGAACCTGTTAGGCAGTAAAATGGTTCACATTTGCGATGGGTTCTTTTTTCACCAAATCAATGTCAGAACTGTTACAAGCGGCGCAGTGACCCTTGGTCCAACTGTGGCCAGCTGCCTCACCAATCATGGAATCATTGACCTCTCAGCGAAACTAAACCAACAACTGCATTGAGGGGCGATCTGGGAAATGAATGGTGCTGGTCCAACACTTTGCTGAGTTTTGTCCCATCAAAACTTCACTTGCCTTTCACCCTGCCTGCAATGCATCCGCAACATGCAAAAAAAATAGTTGCTACAGGTTACAACACAGTAAGAATTTGGCTGAATTTAACTATTGAGTTCTTGGAAACAGTGCATCGCAAGTTCACAGGATGGCAAATCAATTGCCCTCTGCAATCTTCAGAGGTTTTCCCTTTTGGAGGGAAAGGGACGATCTAGTGATGACGTAAGGCTTCTGAACCTTCAAGGACAGCCCCACTCGCTCGAATCTGAATCGGAAGACCGTGCGAATGTGTGCACTGGTACTCACCGCCGGTACACACCTTGCAAAAAAGCTTTTGCAGTTGACCTTCTCACTCCCCTCCTGCTGCAGGATCTTGAACTTCATTTCGTGAGTGGGCTCCACGTTGAATGCATCACATCCCGCTTCCACTGAGCTGTCATCTTTCCGGGAGACATTGAAGTAGGAGACTTTGTGAGCCGTCACCGATTTCTCCCGCTCTGTCAGCACGAGAAGCTTGTATAGTGTCATGGTTGCCACACTGCCAGTTGCCGCACTTTCTCGCAAGCTGGTTTCGTCTACCTGCACTGGCGTTTTGTCCTTGTCTTCAAGCTTGTAGGGTACGCCATCTCCACATTCGGCCGCTTTTGCATACTGTCCACTGCCAAATCCTCCAAGTTGGCAATGTTTCGCAAGAACCTTATCCTTGTCCAAGGACACCAGCCAAACTTGCTTGCTTTTGGTAAGCAGCAACTGCACGCCGGAGACCTCAGATTGAACTTGGTACGCGATCTCTTCAACTGCCTTCAAGGCGTCAAGCGACTCCATGGTCGTTGCATTGGATACATTTGGATCCTGCGCACATCTCAAGTGAGCGGGGAATGCTGATTCTGTGTCAAATCCCATCACAATATCAATGTTCAATCCAATATTGATTTCAATGTTCATCAATTTTCAATGTAAAGGAATATATCAAATGTTGGATTTGCTTTGATGAATTCCTTGCTCAATTCATCCTGACGGCAAGCTTATTGCTAAATTCACAAATCCCCATGACTAAACCAGTATCCTTCAAAACTTAATTCTTCCTGAAGTGGGGCATCAGGAAGCCCCAGCAAAAAAACAGTGGAGCATCAACAAAAAAGGAACAGGGAACACACGTCCTGCGCTTCACTGTTGGCCGTGTTCTCGCTGGCCTCGGTAGTGGCAGAACCAACCTCCGGCATGCTCTCCAGCAATTTGTCGTGCTTCTGCTTCAGCATTGCATAGGACTCTCCGATTTCACCAGTTTGTGAGCTCCAGTAGCGGTGTTCGTCCTGCTTGATCACCATCCGGTTTCCATTTCGCTCACAAACTTCCCACTTCAAGCTGTCCAAACCCGAGATTGTGGCTTCTCCCCCTGGGATGCTCTTGATCTCTGCTGTAGTGAGGGTGGGGGCCTCTTCAGAGAACGATGTGCCATAATCCAATTTGTTTGCCATCCAGCTTTGAAGGATGTCTCGCTGCAGACGACAATGGCCAAAGGTCTCGCGGCCAAGCCAGGATACGCTCAGGTAGTAGAGCTTCTCGCAGTTGAAGCCTCCGAAGTTGTTTTTGTCAAGCTTGTGCTGAAGAACCTGAGCAAAGAAAATTAGAACCTGGTGTGTTCCCAATCTTCCCAAACAACGATATATAGTAGACACTCAGGCTATCATCAACTCAGCTTTTCTCAAAATAGGACAGCATTCAATTGGGACCATTCTGGAGATTCTAACTGATGAGCCCTTTCAGCAACTGACTGAGGCGGTGAGATGTTCGCAGCAACAAAGCAAACAATCACGCTTTGCCTGATGTGATTGCTTGTTTCTTTGTGTGTTTGTGTTTTGTGCCTACGTCTGAACTTTGGGCATCATCCCCCATGCCAAGCAATGTATATAGTATGAATCGGTGCCATTCAATAAGTCTCTACCGCCTGCTTCTAAACATCCAAAATATGTAAAAGGTATGGCGCCCAAAGTTAATCACAATCCTCTATTCACCTCGCAGAGTCTTTCGACCAGCCCAAAACAGAACACCATCATCAGCACATCACCTAACAGTTATGACAGAAAACACCCACATGTCCTGTTTTGAAACTCCCACCGCATAGTCTACTGACAATCAGGACATATACAATATGTATATATGTATATGATCTGTACATGAATATATATAATATATATATATATACTCATACTATATCATTCAAAAGAAGAACTGTTATATGATATAACATATTTACAAATAAATAAGTATCTATTCTAATAAGGACTCTATGAATATCAATTTTGGAATGTTGCAATCTCCAGTTTCAGGGAGCTGGGTGAAAAGATCCACCTACATGACATGCCAATGGATTGGCAGGGCGCATCCTTTCTGATGGGTTTAGCTGCGTTCAACAGTGTTGCAAATAACAATTGTGGATCAACAAGTTTGCAGACAACTTTATCTAGCCTTCTGCAACCATTGCCGCAAAGTCAACATCAGTATAGAATAGAGACACAACGCGCATAAAGTATACAGCCAGAGAGCTGCCGACCCCAATTCCTCGACATACCCAGTGAGGTTCACAACCAGGACCGCTTGCTGCTGGAGAGAATCAGAAGACGTCGTCAGTAGGGAACGCAACAAAGCAAGGTACCGATCAGTACCTTTCTGCGCCGTGACAGCTTCCTGTGACGGGCGTTGCCGCTCCGCTGTTCTAAGGTCTTCATTTGGTTGTAGAGACTCTGGCAAAAGCAAGTCTTTGGACAAAGGAATGAAGATCTTCTGATCTGCCAATGGTCTTCCGCAAAGTGCCAGCTCAGCACTGGTGAGAAACACATTTGTCTCTTCAGCGTCCTTGTTCACCACCAACCTGCCTGAGCTGAAGCGCCTGTTGCAGAGAATTCAATCAAGCAACGCGTTATTGGAAACAGTGGAAACAAGGAGAAAACATGGAAAGTGGATCCCATCAAAATTCAGCAATCAACTTAATGTTCCCCACCCAGTTTTCCACCCTTGCCTTCTTGAGCTGTGCGCTTCTGCAGCTTGCGGAACTTCAAAAGGCAAAATCCATCGTGCGTCGCATTGCTGCTTCAAACTCCATAGAGATTCTTGGAGATCTCTTTCTTCGTCTGCTAATCCTCGTTTCGATGACTTTTTGGGAATGTCAGCAAGCTCGATGCAGCCAATGCTCTTGGTAGGTGCCACATCATTGACAGCAGCAACAGCCTTCATAAGCTCGTTCATCTTCTCTTTGCTGTTGGCCAATGGAGTGTTCAAATCAACGAAGGTAATCGTGCAAATGTCAGTGGTCTTGACTCCAGCGGTTTCTGCCTAGGCAGTTGGTTATCGAATAATGCAACAGTTCATTAAATGTCACTGTCCAATCAGGCTTTCAGAAATCAAACAGGAACAAAACAAATGCAAGTCCTGTGAATTGTTGTGAAATTAGTTTGAAAAGGCATCATATTGATGATCAATTCCTGAACAAGGCGCAACAAAGGCACGATATTCATGCAGGATCTCATGCATGTGTTCCATTTGCTGGATGTGACGGCACCGAATGAACTTCTCGCTGTAAGCCATCATGATCTTTTCGCCAACTTTGGCTTGTTCAAGCCTCCATCCCATTGTTTTGCGATGCCGCAGCATGTCAAGCTTCTCAGGAGCAGACGCCACCAAGGACAATTGCCGTTGGTCTCTCTCCAGGGCTGCCACAAAGTATCGCCATTTTGCTGCACGAAGTTCTGACTGCTGCTGTTCTGCCTCTAGGCAAACTGTTTCTTCCTGCCGCTTCAGCTGGCAGGCTGCTTCATGTTGAGAGACAGGTAGCATCGAAATAGCAAATTTGCTCGGGCAAGTCTGCAAAATCTCCGCGAACTGGTCATCCATGGAATTGCCGGAGTGCAACTTCTGCTCAAAAGAATCGAAGTCGGGGAGTCGTGTTTTGCAGAATGCCCTGATTTGGCCCCACAATGCGCACAAATTTCTAAGTGCAACAACCTCGTCTGGCTTCATGCGGTATCTCTTCCGATCCCTGACATCGTCAACTATGGCAGTGGCTCGGTCAAATGCAATTTTGATCCTTCTGAATAGCATTCCCTGGGAGGCTTCAGTCAATTGGAGGTCCCACTGGATCGCGATGCAATCTTCATGAGCAAGTGGGGCAAGGGCATCCGCACTGCCTTGAAGGCCGTCTGCGGAGGACTGGAGGAAAAGCTGTCCCATCCCAGCTAATGACTCTCCGAAAGGACCCATTTGAAATGGGCTGTCTTGCATGGATTCAAGAACCACTTCTCTCGCCAACGAACCACATTTTGTCATCCAGTGCTTGATGCTGTGGGTCTTCTTGGAATCGATCATGAGGGTCCCGCTGGCGCTTTTGTCTCCATTCTCCTGGGAGGCGGCAGAGAAACAAGAAGCACCATGACATCATGAATACCACTTGACAGATTGTAAAATAGAAAATGCAAATAAATTCACACACAACAAGCATCTGTGGTGCCATGAGCCAACACTTGAGGATTGTTGTTGTACAATTTGATAGCCTCCGAATAGCTACTACCATGATCGCCCAACCGAAGAAGGATCTCTGACCATTCAAAGCTTGATACCGGAAGCTTCTTGGCGTCGACATTCTGCTTGATAATTCTGTCAATTGTGAATGCCAATGGATCGCTTGATTGCACTTTGTGCAAAGTCGGGATGCTGAGCAGATTCTGCACGAGAGAAACCATGCGAGAGTGTCTCAAGTTCTCGTGCGACTCCTGGCCAAGAACGTGAACGCAGCCAACCCAAACCAAGGCAGCTGCTAAACCCTTCATACCTCCATCATCATACATGTACAGGCCAAATTCAGAACTGACTTCATCCACCTTCATGTCTGGCAAGCGCAAAGCCAGGAACTCTCCCTGGCAGGGCTTGTAATGGATGGTTGACCGGCGGACCCCTTAAATCTTATAATATTACATAATAAAATATATAGTAATATGTACATGTTGCACAAGCCCATCGAGTAACAAGTCACTCTGTCTAAAGCAAAATTCAAATGAAAGTCAGGTGTCCCCTTCTTTGCAAACAACAATGGCCACATTCTTTCACACTGATGTTCAACACAAGTCTTCAAATCAGAGAGTATTGGAGTCTGAGGGGTCAAATTGGGAGGTTTGGCGAATGGAAGGAGAAAGTATGGCGAGCAATTTCCTGGGGTGGGGTTATGGCGAGGGATTCCGGGACAGGTTATGGCGAGCGATTTCCTGGGTTGGGGTTATGGCGAGGGATTCCGGGACAGGTTATGGCGAGCGATTTCCTGGCGTGGGGTTATGGCGAGGGATTCTGGGACGGGTTATGGCGAGCTCTTCCTAGAAGAGCTCTCCATAAAGTGTGCTGTCAACCATATCTTTGGCGAGGGATTTGCAAACAAACCTCCCCGGATAAGAAATATCTCTCCAAAATGGACTTGCTGCTGATGACCGGTTTATGGCGAGCTCTTCCTAGAAGAGCTCTCCATAGACTACCTTCCCCACATCTTCCTTCTCCATTGCCTTTCAGGGCCAGGTAGTATATGATACATTAGTCAGTACCAGTTGGTGGTTTGGCTGGCTTTACAGGTAGTATTGGCTATGGCGAGCTCTTCCTAGAAGAGCTCTCCATAAACAGGGCTCCAACTGAAGCTTGATTTTGGAGAGGTATTCCCTTTGCAGGGGTTGTGGGTTTCTATTAAACCTGCCAAGCCTGCCGCCACGAAGAAAGCGCGATGCTTTTAGCAATGTCATACACAGTAGCCATGGAAGGGGTTCGCCAAAATGAATCAGCCTTCAAGCTCCACTGCAATATGCTTGTTGTCAGCATGGCACCTTCTTTGGGTGGAAAGTCCTGGTTTTGAAGTGCCCGGACATCTCATCCTAAACCTTACTTGCAAAAGGAACTCTTTTCAAAACTGCTAGGGTACCTAATGTCGTTTTCAAAACTGCCATGCACAATTTGCCAGATTATGGTCGTGCGTGGTGAGAACGTATTTCTTCTAAGCAGTCCTTAGCCGTCATGAACTTGTCCTCAAAGTCATCGGTCGTAGCAGACTCTGAAAGGATGCCCATCTTCTGAACTAGCGCCAAGCTCGCGTTGAGAAGTCCGTCCTTGTCTTGCCAGCAGCGTTGACAGATCTCCAGCAAGCTGCCACCTTTCTCAACAGGCCAAGGGAGACTGTCACCCCCACCGTGTCTCATTCCATAGGCCTTGTTGATCCAATCTTTGAGCTTTGTTTGAAGTGGTGACAAGTCTTCTAGACTGGTGGGGTTCACTTGGTCCACTGACTTGACGTTCCCGGAGACTTTTGCCTTCTTCTTCGGAGGCATCTCAGGCGGATTCCCAAGCCGCGCGTGAGGTACACACAACACTACGGGACAAGAAAACAACACCTAATTTGAGCAAAACATATGAGGTGTTGCCTTGCAGAAAATGGCAAGCCACTGAACCTTTCAATCTATTTCAAACACTTCACCCAGGAGAGTTCACAAGCTTTGTCTTTTCAGCAAGCCTGAGGTTGGTCAAACATGTTAGTTGCATTTAAGGCAACTGCCACATTCTTTGTGGTGCCATGTGGAGTCACACGCACCATAATTCGCAAACAAAATGAAACTGCGAGACCTGTAGCGCACTAACAAAGATCACACATATAGTACAGTTAGTTATATCAACAAACAACTGATGCCACTAGGCCCGCACACTCAAAGCTGCTCCCATCCACAATTTCCGAGTGCCCCCAAAAGGCATGCCATTGCCACAGGCACGGAAAACCTTTGATGATCATACAAACCAAAGAATGCCGTCCATTTGTTTAGGGGAGGGGGGATTCAACACAAATACCAAGTCTTCCAGCTTAAATGGTGATGAGGTGCGCATTCCCGAGAAAGTTTTGAGCCAATGCTGGGGGCAGCTTGTCCATGCCAAAGGAGAACCAATCCTCGTCTCCCAAGCCCTGGAGCATAGCCATTTCCTCCATGGAAGCTCGATCAAAAACAGTTGAACTCAAAGTTATTAAAAAAGGCGGAAACTTAAAAACACTGAACCATTTTCCCGTGGTCCCCTTGTTGGGTTTGAGGGCCTTCGGCACAAGCTGGCGGAAATTTCCTGGTCCGGTAACGATGTACTTGCCCTTGGGGATGATGCAGCACGTTCGTGTGTCCGGGTGGTTCTTGCAAAAGGTCTGCCTGTTGAAGTTCTGGTCCTTGGTTAGTGAGCATTTTATAGGCCATAAATGGTCAAACTGTAAAATTGATTGCCGCAGATTTGCAGGGTTTGATAGGCTGAGGATTGCTTGCGTAGAAAGCTGTTGACGTAAACTCAAGACCAAAGACCTGTTGAAGTCGCGCTAACAATCTTTCTGAACAATTACTAAGTTGCAACTTGGATCACGGTCAGGGATTCCATTGCATGAACAAACTTCATCTTCATCTCACACACAGCCGTAGCCAGAATGGCGAGTTCCCTCTCGGAGACATCACATACCACTGGGCGTAGTTCGGCAATGATCTTGTCCACATGTGCCTTCAAGGTTGGAATCCTTTTTGTTGAATAATAATTATTATTATGTGTTAAGACCCTTTTCAGATCTCTTAAGCTATGCTTATTTTTAATTCAAGTATGTTGTGAATTGTTGTTCACACACCACACTTTTTCTTAGCCTTCCCGCCTTCCCACCGAGCTCTTTGCAACGTTCCTTGTAACCTGAATGCCACTTCGCGTCCTTGTTGAACTTGTGTTTCTTGACAGCCTGCTTCTTGGGATTCTTACTCACAAGGTCCTGGTTGATGATCTCCATCAGAGGAAATGAGGAACATCTGAAACGGGCTGCATCCAAAATTGCCATCTCAGTGTCATATGATTTCAGCCCAGCAATCACCCAAGCCCGGTTTCGTGACTGAGGTGGTCCAAAGTCAGCAGTGTTGAAAAGCGCCGCGTTTACTGAGTAGCCCAAGGAGACCAGCTTCTTCCTCATGATCTCGTACCTCAGAATAAATATACATATGATATGTAGCACAAATTTGAGAAGCCTGAAGCAACATCAAAACAACTTGACAGTGTGGGTTGACAGAGTGGACTCTGTGTTGCAAGTCCCGCTATGGTCCTTAAAGAAAAACTGAAATGTCCTAATAGAGCCCGGTAACGGTGACTGTCCTCCATCTGCCTTCCTCGAGGCAAACAGAGTTTGGACGTTCTCCAAAAGAACCATTCTTGGCCGGTGCCTCTCAATGTATTGGAAGGTGGAAGTCCATCCAAGGCCGGAAGAGCAGTCAGAATCCTCAATACTGCCAGGAGTTGTAGTCAACGGTGACAGGCTCACACATGGAAAGCCAGCAATCAAGACGTCCACCTTGCAAGTGGAAACTGTCCCGGTAAACACTGGCATCTGTCCCAAAAACGTTCAATACATATTGAGTGAGACATGACATCAACCTCAGCACCAGTCCTAATCAGTGTCCGACCCTTCTAAGTGGTGGTCAGTGGTAGCGCTAGCAGTTAACTTAACCTGGTGGGATAGAGTTACAGTGAAAGCCACAAGCCTTCGGCACAAGCTGATACGTGCCATCATGGGTCTCTGCTTGAAGCCTTCCAATCTCGGCCATGTCCTTGAACAGCTGCTTTGGCTTGAACTGCAAAAGGAAGTCACGCTTTTTCTTCTCAATCTCCACCATGAAAGTGCACTCCAGCTGCAGGGACAAACACGGTCAGTGCTTGCATTTTTGTGTTGAACCCGCCCAGGAAACCCATTACAAATTTACTTATTCCGCAGTGGGTGATTTGCGCCCTAGGTGGGAATGAAAGTGAATCCGAACCATAAAATTGAATGTCTTTGAAGTCTACCAACCCAAAAGTAACACAACATCGAACCACAATGTGGAACCTAAGAAATAAGTCCTTTTTCCTGCTTTCCAACAAAATGCCTTGATGGGAACCTCTTCGTGGCAAGCGTTCCATTCATCCTGAACATGCTGAGCAACCATCTCTGCTGTTCCAAGGCCAGAGCAAATGGAGCCAATGCGGATCACACCATCAGCGAGACGATTGACCCCCCCAAAGCTGCGGTGCAGCTTGCGCTGGTAGATGTGCAGGTAGTCCTTCGTGAAGCCGCGTACCTTCATCAAGAGCCAAGAGCTAGTAAGAAATGTCAGGTCCCATTCTGAAACAATGACTTCGGAAGGGTCCTAACATGAGTAAAAAAGTCCAACATGAGTAACAAATAAAATACTTTCCGATTGGTCTAGTTGCATTGATGGCAGTGTTGGAATCCCTGAAATCGCAATCATGATCTTGCAAGATGCCAAGATCATTGAACGGGCGTGCTGCGTCTGGACTGCTCACAGGACCATCCACAAAAGCCTCAGCATCAGTCTCCTCCATGACTCCACTCCTCAGGAGTTGAGCGGTTTAGAGTTCCATGTCCCTCCAATTAGGCCACACCTATATCTCTCCCAAAAAGGTTTCTTACCATTGAACGGTTTCTATGTCGGCCGCTTCGTCTCTCCACAATGACTTCCCAGTCCAACGCCCAGAAAGACCTAGAGGAGTTGAAACTAGACAGGGCCTAGAAACTCAGGCTGCGTAGAGGCATTATCAATGTCAGAGGCCACAAAAAGCTCTTCCTCATCTTCTTCGCTCCTGGCACGTTGGGGCATCAATGACTGCCTTATCCTGTGATCTTGCCTCCCTTGAAGTGTTCTATTGCAGAAGGATGTTGGGATGTCTTTGTGTTGGTTTCTTACCCTCAAAGGGCCCACAAACTTGCAGCCAATTCAACCAACGCAGGTTCAACTCATAGAAAAAACATGCTGATGTGAAGGCAATCCTGGTCCTATAGCTTTATCAGTCCCCCTAAGTTGGTTTGGGCAAAATTATTGTGTTCCTGTCTATATAGTACATTCTAGCACTGCCAATAGGGCCTGCAAAGGAGCTCTTATTTATAGCCAGAACCCAGAAGAGTATTATACAATTGTGTCGTCGTCAAAAGCATCTTCAAATCACGTGTTTGGTGGTCACCAACCCATCTCCGATACCAACTATTTTTTTGTCGTCCGTCAATTGTCGCGATCATCAAGCAGAACGCGTGGGAGAACAATATCTCCCTCAGAGTCGCCGGATGACGACTGTTCACCTCTGAGATCAACTGTAAGATCGATATGTCTCTTTCGCCCAGGCTTCGTCCAAGAGCCTGGCACAACAACTTCGTCTCTGTGTTCACGGCGCCATCTGTAGCTCAAAATCTCATAAACATTTGGCCTTGGAATTGTCTCTAGGGTTCCGGTCGACCACCCCATTAAGTAGTTTGCAGCCACAGCATTCAGATCGCCCTGTGCGCGGCATCGCGGTACATAACGAGCTATGTTTGATCGCACCGTTTCAGAAATTCCTCGTCTTGGGGCAACCCCCTCAGGCAGGTGCAGCCCGACGCGAATCTTCGCCGCCGTTTCACCCGGGACAACGGCCACAAGTCGCAACACCTGCCGGTCAGCCAACCATCTTTTGGCAATTAAGAATATGTCTTGATCTGACCTAGGAGGTTGGCTTCCATGTTTGAAATCTTCCACTTCAGCCACATTGTCCCAGATATCTCGTTCAATGTCAGCACGGGAACAAAATCGGATGTAATGAATATGTCCTCAGTTGACAGTTGGCCTTTATCCTCACTGTTTTCAAGATCCGGTTCTTGTGTTTGTTCCACCCAAGGGACATTAAAAAAACAAAACATGTGCAGAAAATCTAAATTTGTCGCAAGGTCAAGCATCTGAGTCCTTTGAATGCAATGCCCAACTGTTGGGTAAATTGCTTCCAGCGAGCAACTTCGTCCAATTTGTAAGGATGGACAACAGTGCCTCGAATCCGGCTGGGCTCTCCTGACCTTTGGGTCACTGACTGCAGCAGCTGGATGAGTTGGCTCGGTGTATTAAAGGATTTGGCTTTCAGTAGTCTGCTGACTTGCCCGAAGATCTGATCGATGTCTTCATGGCTGTGCGCCGTGCGCAAAAAGCCCATGGATGTAAATCTAAAGGCTCCAATCACTGTCAACAACAAAAGGAAACAGGCAATGTATTGGTTTTTGCCTTCCCGAAAGCAATTGTCAGCTTGAATGTGGCATCCCAAGGGAAGCCGTCCTGGCCCCAGTCTGCAAAGTGCACTCAGGGACCTTGCCATCATTTCAATTTGTGTTTCACTGTCCTTTTTCAGACTTTCATCAGAAATAGGCAGGTACAGCTCAGAGCCATGGATCCAGACCCCAGCTAAGTGAAGCGTGGGTCGGAACACTTGCTCCAGAAGTTTGCTGATGCGAAGGTGACCAAAGCGGGGAGTCCTCAGTTTGCTTTGGTCCATCCCGTCAACTATAATGCATGCGACAGAACTGAAGATCCCAACGTCATCGCTTGCCGGCAAGCTTGCTGAAAAGAATCTCTGTGAAAGGCCTCTTATCTTCCAATACACCTGGCGATCAAGCCATTGAGATAGAATGTGCTGTGAAAACTCACGCACAAACTGAGTCCGATCAGATTTTGATCGGGCTCCTTTGATCTTGGCCTTTAGGCGAGCACAATGGTTGCACTGAGCGTGCTCCAACTTGCTGCGAAATTTCAAGAATGTACCAAACACCTTGTGGTACACCTTCATGAAAGTTGTCAAGGTTGATGGCTTCCGTCCCTCATTCTCTTCATGAGCTACATACTGGTAGAAAATGTCAACCGGCTGTGCCCATTCTAGGAATCGACAGGGGCCTGAAAAGCTGCCAGGCCCCAAGTGCTCTATGCTTGGCATTGCAAACTGAGCATCAATGTCCCGCAAATAATTGGTCACGTACCGCTCTTCAAAATCCTCGTCATGGGCGTTTGCTTTAAGGACCTTCTCTGAGGGCATGCCGAATCTTGTTGGTAGGATTTCAGCTTCACTGACATAAAGCAACCAAAAGAAACATAGGATATATTGCCATTTGCCGTCCACAGACCGGCGCATAGAGAGGTCCATAGTCGGATGTTTTGGGTGGTAAACACGGTGCTGGTCCATAGTATACCCCGGCTTCCCCTCCCGCATTGCTTGTAGCACTCCAGACCCCACACCATACAGCCGTTTGTGGGCTGCCTGGCAAACCTTGGCGGAGCTGCTAATACAAAAACCGGGCGGTAGGTGCTTTCACCCCAAATCAAGATGACATCAGCATTCCCAAGATCCAGGTCTACAAAGCCCCCTTTAAAAAACAAGATACAAGAGACCCAAACAAGGTTAAGTTTTACTGCCGCAAGCAACTGGACGATCCAAGAATTTGAGGGGTTCTGCTGGTGACGATCCCTTCAGATATCTGCGCTTCTTCTGTGGTGGAGAAGCTAGAGCCAAATCATTTTTTGTATCTGGCTCTGACGTTGGGGTTTGAGGTAAAACTTCACCGCGATCAGAAGGTGTGACTTCAAAAATGATGTCATCCTCTGTATCTGAAGCTTCTAGCAGAGGAGAACATGGCTCCTTCACACTAGCTGCATCTCCCATTTGGAGATTCCGCGCGTTGTACCATTCCGCAACAAATTGTTCCTTAATGCAAGTGTGGAGGAAAAATAGGCAAACAAAACAACCCATTGAGGGTTTCCAAGTTTCTTGAAGGACAGAAACAACACGAATCAAAAGCTGAGGTGTCATGGCTACTGCGAGGTTAGCTTCTTTCCGAAACCCTGGTAAGCTTTCAAACCGTTCGCGTTCACTCAGAATCTCCTGTTCTCGTCCGCGAAATTGCCGAAAGCATTCATGCTTCGCACAACTGCACAGCCGCTTCAAAAGCTCTGTGACCGAAGCTAGGGTTTTCTTTCTTGTCGTGGAGTGGGGGCGTCCATCCCGAGATCCGGAAGGAAGAGGATGAGACTCTGCATCAGACTCCGCAAAAACGACTGCAGAATCAGAATCCATTGCACATCCGTTTGGACAATTGGACGTAATAGGTGGTGTGACCCAGCTTGTTTACCAATGACCACGAGCAGGGACATTTAGCTGTCATGATCTGTCAGGTGTGCTAGTTCTATCTGTCAGGTGTGCTAGTTCTATCAAACATCTACTTCCATCAACCCTCAAAAATAAAATATATAAACAAATCACAGCATCTGCTGCATGTTTCACACAGAACTTGAACCAGCTTGAACAAGAAAGATCCGGCGAGTAACTCAGTCAGTGAACCCCAACCCACGTCTTCTGCCCATAACATAAGTCGGTCCTTGGCTTCTTGCCATAAGCTGGACGCTTCAAAGCTGCTGCTGCTGATGCTGGCTTCTTCATGCAGACATCCATAGCACCGGCAGGGCGCTTTTTGGGTGCCATAGTAAGCGCGACACTTAAGCCAGAAACCTTGCATCCCCTATCTCGAGCCTTTTACATAACGAGCCAGCGTGCATACCTACAACAAAGAACTCTCATTCAGTGAAGAACTAACTTTCCCTAAAGTGCTTTACCTGTAGAACAGTTTTTCATCGGCTTCTTATTGAACGACCCTGGCTACACTATAGTGAACAAGCGAAGAAGCGAGTATATTCCTTGTCAAAATCTCGTTGGTTCTTCCGCACCATAACCCATCACCATCCCGGCCAAGCGGAGGAATCCGTCGAGCGTAGACGTTCCGAACCCGACCGAGCAAGGCCGGGAAGTGGCCCTTTTGGTTGTCACCTCGACAGGCGCGGCGCGCCTTTCGAGCTCGAAAGAATGCCTGGTAGTTAGGAGTTCTTAAAGGACTGACCCGTCAGACATCCCAAGACTTGCCAAGACCAAAGGACAGTGATCAGAATCAAAGCCGTTCTCTAGGTTGATGCATGTTGATTCCTTTCTTTTCAACTCCAAACGCCCGCTCTCTCAGCCTCAGGTTCAAGTGGTGCCGGTGGGAACTCAATTCAATGACTACGCGCTGTGGGTCCCGATGCCCAGAGCGCCCAAAACCGGGTCTCTCGACCGGCGCTCTGAGCGTCCGAGCGCGGACGGTTCGAGTCGCGATGCCAGGAGCCCCGTTCGTAGCTTCTTCCTAGCAATGCCCTTGTTACTAGTTCAAAAAACAGGGGTGCTTCGGCTTGGTCGTTTTCCAACGACCTCACCAGGTGGAGCGGCAGCTGCAGATCCATGGCTTCCACGCGGAGGCCAGAGACGAGAAACTGACGTCACGTCTGTCGTGTCACTGTTTAAACTCGGACGTCAACGAGGGCCGTTGGTTTGACCCATCCGGTGGTCCAACTCTCCAAGGTGCTCCCTCTCTTCTCCTCATCCCCCATCCTTTGGAACCGAACACACGGCGATCGGCTGGCGGTCTGCGCGGTTTGCGCTGTCCTTCGAAGGCGGAGACGAGTGGAAAGACGTTGAACAAGAAGGTGCAGTGGGCAGTGCTGGGATGCTGAAGTGTGTTCCGTTAAGTTCAAGACGTTTTGTGTACCGAAAGCGGGGTCTAGACGTTGTTGGCGCAGATCAGAGTGGAAACCCCCCAGGTCGAAGTGGAGAGACTGTTGGGGATCAAAAACCGAGGGAAATTCGATCGATCGCTCTCTGGACAGGTGCGAGAAGCCCAGCTGGCTCAGTGGAACTACGTTGGGCCGCCGAGCGAGACGGACCACAGCTGGTGTTTGGTCGCTTAATCTTCAAAGTTGGGGCCAAGCCAGGCAAAACCATCTCGAATTCGGATCCCTTCGGCCAGATGGATCAGTTCGGAACCCGCCTCACGGACCCGCCTCAGGTGGCGGTGGTGGGCGCGGAGGAGCAGAACGGCCTTTCCGTGAACTTGAGGCCGATGTCGTTGGGCGAGTTGGGCGAAAGGGTCTACAATGGGGACGAAGGGACCTTGGGATGGTCTCAAGGAGATCAAGTCAGAAGTGATTCGAGGATTTGAAGCGAATGAGCAGAGGTTTCTTTATAAATCAGGAATAATTAGGATAAAGATCGATCAAGTCCTCCACTTCCCTCCACTTGGTGTTCACTTTCACATCCGATCAGGTCCAGAGAATCTGAAAAGCCCTTGGGTGTCTTCTCCATGGTGGACTTCATTGCCAAGCTGGATTCAGAGTCGGGGAACCAACATTTAAAAGCAAACACACAGGACAGTTGCGTTTTGTGTTTTTGAGTTTGTTGATGTTTGTTGTGTTTTTCCTTTTTGAGCATGTTCGATCAAGTCCAAGTCCCAAGCTGCTGGGCTGATGATTTCTCCGTTCACGTTTCACCACTGTTTCTCGGCGCAGGTCCAGTTGGCGTGAATGCTTCAGTTCGCTTCGAAGTTCGTTTTCTCACTGTGTACCAGTTGAGACACAGTCGGCCACCGGGGTCTCCAGTCCAAAACCACACCGGTGCCAAGGGTCGCCGATCCAGTTCCCGAATTCAGATCACTCTCGGGCGGCGTCCCACCGTTCCACTGGGAGACGACGGGGAGAGTCATCAGGACATACGTGTTGGTGAGAGTCGTGTTGGTCAGGACATACTGATGATTCACTTGTTACTACTTGTAGTATCGTCCTTGTTCCCATATAGTAGTAATGCCAGGACCTACGTTCGTAGCTTCCTTGCTCCGTTCGTAGCAATGCCCTTTGTTCCTAGTAGCTTCTTGTTACTACGTGTAATGCCCGGAGCTACTACTAGTAGCGATGCACCTTGTTCCTAGTAGCTTCCTTTAGACTCTGATGATTCACTTCTGCGTGTTTGAATGAAAGAGTGAACTGTCTTTCGATACATGCTGGTCTCTCACAAAGCATGGTGCAGGATGGTGCTATGCCTATGATTCAACGTATTTATAACTTAACATTCTGTTGAACTTGTTAAGCCTAGTTTAGTTTAATTCTAATTCTACCAATGTCATTGTTTCTAATAGCCAACATTGTTCCTATGGTAGTACGGCCAGGAGCCCCTAGTAGCGAACATTGACCCAATCGCTTTGGGTGAAGAGGTTCTGTTGAACTTGTTAAGCCTTGTTCCTCCCTTTGTCTCCATTGAATTCACGTAAGGGCGATGCCCAGCTCACAACCCTTGCGGCAGTTCGAGGCCACACACAGGGGGGTTCAAAAGAAACCTATCGAGGGCAATGACAATTCCAGAGCAAAGAGAAGACATTTCTAGATCAAATAACTAAAACATATGACTTACTTCGATTCTTTGATTCCTTCTTTGTTGAGTTGAAAAGTCAGATGCTGGTTGGTTGGTACATGTTGATACCAAGAGGATGGTACCAAGCTCCAGCCAGGCCTTCCAGGGACGTCTCCCCGCTGCACTGAAGAAGACGTAACCCGGCGATGTGGAAAGCCGATGAAAAGAATTGAAAAGAATTTAGGCTTATAAGAAAAAGAGAAAACTGTACTTTCAGGAACCCAATAGCGATGGCCTCCACTCTACTAGCGATGGCCTCCAACCTAATTGAAAAGCAAAAACAACCATCAGAGGGTCTTGTCTTCTGTATCTCAGGACGCTTCCAGAGCCCAAAGAGCCCACGGCCAAATCTCCTGCCAAGCCGAGCTCCAATGGGTCCACGAAATGTGGAAAAAGGAACGGGAAAAAGACCAAAACGAACATTGAAACGAATCAATAAGAAGAGTTGGAAAAGGATCGAATGACAGATAGAGAGGTTATTCTGGAAGAAGAAACACATTTGAATTTGTGAGGTTCTCACGGCGACTCCGACGGAGTTTCTTCGCACTTCAGGCCCACTTTCCAAAAGCAGGGCTCGCTGCAGTTGCGGAAAGCGGCCACTTGGGCAATGACCAAATATATGGCGAATGACCAAAGGCCCTCCACGTAGCTATAGAATAAAGCTGTAAGCTTCTCACAGGTAAGTTCTTTGTCAAAACTTCGCTTTGGGCCTTACCCTCTGACAGACTTGGAGCGATGAGCAAGGGGGCCAAAGGATGCCGGGGATGAGTATAGGGGGTGCCGATTTCCGAGTCCAAACCTTTGGGTCTTCCGTCACGAGCTTCAGAACGTTTTCCGTCGTCTCCAAGCTAACACGCTAAGGCCAACGAGAAGTTTGCCGCTTTGGCCGTCGATGAGGATGTTGAGGTGCGATGCCAGAGTCGAGGAAAGTCCGCCGTGTCGAGGCGGCGAGGTTGGCCCGCTGTGACTCCGAAGACTACGGAGGGTGCCAACTCACACCGCAGACCACAGTTCCTAACCCTACTAGCTGCGATGGCCTCCTAACCCCCAAAAAAACGAGAAACGACTCCTTTGCGCTGGAAAAAGAAAAAGAAAACGAGACTCCTTTTGCCAGGCGTTCTTGGAGAGCCATCCATATGTGAAGGGCTTCGAGCCCAGCAGGGCCGACGCCGAGCTCTTCCAACAGCTCTCGGAGTGCCTCGGATGTGCCGATGCGGTCTCTTCCAAAAAGGAAACGAATGCCTTGGTCTCTTCAATGGGTATTCCAGGGCATTTGGCCAACTCCGCATGGGCAAACCGGAGAGAAGTTCTCGCTGACCTCTTTTCGGCGTAACCGTCGTTCGTAACCGGCTCCCCACCCGAGGTCGGGCGCTCCCACGACACCGAACCTGAGGCGACCGGGACGTCCTTTTCGGTCCGACCGGTCAGACATCAGACCATCCATCGAAGATCTAGACTTGGTGGATGGATGTTCTTAATTAATGTGTCTCTTCTTTCGGTGTTTTTTTTTGCACGCGACTTCAAGGAGGGCTCGAGACTCCATGACAGGCGATGGTATGATCACATCGAGTCCTTCCCCAGCTCGGAGCGTGTTTTGGCCAGAACATGGAAGACCAGATGAAGTTTGTAGAAAAGTCTGTGTGAGTGTGTGTGTGGAGCTGTTTTTTGTTTTTACTGTACATGTATTTCTTTGTATGTCAGGACTGAGATGTTGGTAAGAAGCTGAAGCAACGAAGCGGCGTTCACACCAGTCCCACCCCATGTCTTCCTTGATGTTGGGTGCTTTTGATGGATCTCCAGTTTCCCTCAAAATCTAGGAACCAAATGATTAGTGCGAGCGCTTTGGCCAAAGGAAGCTCCCCCCGAAGGAAGCGTGACCTATCCTAGCTAGAAGTGAACTTCTCCTAATAAGAAGCTATTAGAAACAGTGCATCGCTAGTAGTAACAAGTGCCACGCTAGTAGTAACAAGTGCCTTACTAGTAGTAACAAGAAGCTATTACTTTAGCTTACCTCCTAGGCCCGATTGAGTCGGCGCCGGCCCGTCGGTCCAAGTTGGATGTCCCATGACGTCCCATGGCCTCGCTTCGAACGATTCGTCTCAGAACCCAAACGTTGTCTCCCGGGTAGGTGTTGTAGTTAGAGGAAGAGAGAGGTAGCTATAGTAGCTCTAAATGTTGTCCACTCAGGCTCTCAATGGGTGTCCTGAGATGGCGAAAGGGCGGGCCAGGGCAATGTGTGAGGCCGCCATGTCTCCGCTTTGAAAGACGGACTGTGCTCTGATCAGATCCCGTGATTGACTCACATGTACAAGAAATGATGAAGGACACACCACCGTTGTTCTTTCAATGTTGTGCCTGTTCTGAATCGAAGATCGTATGGGTGCTTCCTAGATGGTTGGTTTAAGGGGGCGTATCGAGATCTGAAAGCCCCGCATGTTCACAGCGACATGTGAAGACAAACCTCACAAACCTCGGAGGTCAAACTGGAGACGTCAGACCTGAAAGAAAGACAAGGGTTGTCTATGAGGAGGTGTTTTTGCTGTGGTGTTGGCATGCTATGTTGGAGAAAGATCGCCATGAGAGATGATTGTAAGGGAACTGGTCACTCTTTCTCAAGAGCCCACGGATTTAAGAGAATCATGGCCACCACAGACTGCTTTTTGCCGGGTTTGTGGTTGATACAGCTGGCTGCCTTGTACAGCAGACGATCTCTCGGAAAAGTGGATAGGTTTTGTGTAGCACAGCACAGCGGTTTTATGTTGCCGATGAATCTGATGATGACTGGTTGACACGCTTCTTGGATGGAGTTTGTGTGGTCAAAGGCTGAAGCAGAAGACATCAGATCAGAGTGAGTCCACATTTGACTTCACACAGTTCTTTTTGTTCAAAAAGATGAAGTTACACGAGGTTACTCAACAGCGCTGAATGTTTAAGCTGGCTCCGCTAATTGGTTGGTCACTTTTTCAGAGGCTCAGAACATGCGTCTGCGAAGAGCCTCGGGATCCGACGCTTTGCGATGGAACCGCAAGACGAGGCGCTTTGCGTCTGCCCATCCAGGCGAGGCAGATGACCGGAAGGATACCACAATGATGACCGGTTGTTAGTCCGGTGAAGTCTACGACAAGGCCTTTTCATGGTTTCGAGTCCCTATATATCAGTAAGTCTATGTGTAAAACTTATTATGTGTTGAAATGCTTTGGGACGGACTCCTTTGCATAGGACCCCATCCTTGCGGAGACCGCGGATGGCTCTTGAAAGGACAAGCCCCCGTAGTCCCCGGTTCTATCTGCTCTGCTCTGCTCCGTTTTGCTGCGTTCTGCTCTGTTCTGCTCTGTTCTGTTCTGCTCTGTTCTGTTCTGGTTGGGCATTGTTCTGCTCTGTTCTGTTTTGTTCTGTTCTGGTTGGGCATTGTTCTGTTTTGTTCTGTTCTGCTGTGTTCTGCTCTGTTCTGTTCTGGTTGGGCATTGTTCTGTTTTGTTCTGTTCTGCTGTGTT